GCAAGGGAACCTTTACCTTTTTTAATCTGAATAAGATGCAAATGTTTTAAATTCGCCTAAAATCATGACTAGTTCCATCAGTTGTTAGCTTCAGGGGCAATGTGCAATAGCCTCTAAATCAGTAATGTATGCGGCGTGATGAAAAATTTCTTCTAGGTCAGGGGTATGCCTACGGTTGCCAGATCTGGGTTGGGAAATACCCAGAGATTTTAGGGGTGGAGCCCGGAGAGGAGAGGGTTTGGGAAGGACCTCTACAGGGTATGATGCTATAGAGTCCACCCTCCAAAGCAGCCATTGTCTCCAGGGGAATTGGTCTTGGTCGACTGAAGGTCAACTGCAATTGTGCAATCTTAGGATGCATTCACAGAAGCATCGTGTCCAGATCAAGGGAGGTGGCCGTTCCGCTCTATTCTGCTGTGGTCAGGCCTCACCTGGAGTCCTGTGTCGAGTTTTGGGCACCACGTTTTAGGAAGGATGTTGACAAGCTGGAGCGTGTCCAGAAGAGGGCAACCAGGATGGTGAGAGGGTTGGAATCCAAGTCTTACGAGGAAAGGCTGAAGGAGTTGGGTCTGTTTAGCCTGGGAAAGAGAAGGCTTAGAGGGGACATGCTTGCATTCTTCAAGTATCTGAAGGCCTGTCATGTAGAAGATGGAGCAGATCTATTCTCTCTTGCTCCAGATTGCAAGGCTAGATCTAATGGATGGAAATTACAAGGGAGTCGATATCGGCTAAATATCAGGAGAAACTTCCTAACGGTAAGGTGGTGGATGCTCCTTCGCTGGACGTTTTCAAGCGGAGGCTGTCTTTTGGCTATGTTGTAGTTATGTAGGGCTATCTTTCAGCTATGCTCCTGCAGAGTGCAGGGGGTTGGACTAGATGACCTTCCAACATTCTATGAGTCTATGGGAGGTAGGTTGGCAAACCTAGGTATTCCAGACACTTCAAGCTATTTTGTGACACAAAAGCATGTGTGAATGGGACAGGAGTGCTAATAGAAATTTGGCAGGGGAGGGGTCTTATACTTCTCTGAATCCCAGTTTGGTGCAGTGGTTAAGTGCGCGGACTCTAATCTGGGAGAACCGGGTTTGATTCCCCACTCCTCCACTTGCACCTGCTGATGTGACCTTGGGTCAATCACAAGCTCTGGCACAGCTGTCCTTGAAAAAGAGCAGTTTGTGTCAGAGTTCTCTCAGCCCCACCCACCTCACAGGGTGTCTGTTGTGGGGAGGGGAAGGGAAAGGAGTTTGTAAGCTGCTCTGAGACTCCGAGTGAAGGGCGGGGTATAAATCCAATCTCTTCTCTTCTTCTTCTTCTTTAAGAGCACCATTTAGAAACAGACCCCATCCTTTGTAAGGGAGGTCGAACAGTCTGCCTCGGGAGGTGGTGGATGCTCCTTCGCTGGACGTTTTCAAGCGGAGGCTGAACGACCGTCTTTTGGGTATGTTGTAGGTAGGTAGAGCTATCTTTCAGCTATGCTCCTGCAGAGTGCAGGGGGTTGGACTAGATGACCTTCCAACTCTAATATTCTATGAGTCTATGGAAGGTAGGTGGGCAAACCTAGGTATTCCAGACACTTCAAGCTATTTTGTGACACAAAGGCATGTGTGAATGGGACAGGAGTGCTAGTAGAAATTTGGCAGGGGAGGGGTCTTATACTTCTCTGAATCCCAGTTGTTTAAGAGCACCATTTAGAAACAGACCCCATCCTTTGAACGTCACAGGGCATGAAAGTCCATCTGCCTCCCTATTGACCACTGTATGCTGAAGATCTACTGACAAAGCTCTAGTCAAGCCAAAATGTGATGCTTGGAGTGCACGAGAGAGGTTTTACGGAATGTATCTCATCTTAACTATTCCAATTATTCTCAGACAACGCAAGACCTTGGCTGGAGGAAACTGAGAAGCCTAGCATGGGCGAGAAGTAAAGGAACTGGAATAAGCCAGGTGGAAGGATGCCTCTAGCTCCTTTTTCCCTTGTTCTATGCATGCCCAAACCAAAATGCTGAGCTTTTTCTACTTACGGTACCCATCATAGAAAATCCCATATTCACATTGTGAAAAAACCATATTGACCAGGGGTCCCCAACAGGCCTATAGCCAGGATGTTTTAAGTCAGGGGGCATTTAAATTCCTTAGGGGGCACTGGCTGATCAAATTAATCTGGGGGAGAAGGTCGGGGGCCTTGCCAGCAAGTCGGGGGGCCTTGCCCTGAGATGCCCCACTGTAGCTACGGGCCTGGTCCCCAACCTTTTTGAGCCTGCGGGCACCTTTGGAATTCTGACAGAGCGTAGTGGGCAGAGCCACAAAATGGCTGCCACAAAATGTCTACTACAGGAAGGGGAGCCAGCCACAAAATGGCTGCTGCAACTTACCTTCAGTTACACAGCAAAGACCCTTATGCAGTGGCGGCAGCCGCTGCCAAAACAACGCTTTTAAAAACCTGCACAGGAAATCATATCTCCAATGGCCAATCGGAAGCCCTGCTGGGCAAATGACCCACACACTTTCTAAAAAAAACCAACACTGGGCGGGCACCAGGAAAATTGTCAGCATTCACCATGGTGCCCACCAGTGTTCCCTCTAAGCTGAGTTAGTGTGAGCTAGCTCACAGTTTTTTAGCCTCTGGCTCACACATTTTTGTCTTCGCTCAGGAAGGAGGGCTCCAGAGCAAACTCATTCATGCAGCAGCCAAATCGCTCGCTCACAACTTTGATGCTGGTAGTTCACAAAGTAGAATTTTTGCTCATGAGACTCCACAGCTTAGAGGGAGCATTGATGCCCACGTTCACTAAGTTGGGGACCCCTGATCATTGACAATGAAAAATAAAATTCTTACTTGCTTCTCGACTATTGAACGGCCACCCTGAGGCAGAAAGGAAAGACGGCACTGGAGAGCTGGCCCTGTCGTCAGTCCCCGGTTGCGGCGTAATATGCCGCACAGTATCCTTATTTTTCCTATTCTTCCGGCGCCCCGTGGGCTGCCATCCATCTGTCGCACCTTGTTCAGAGAAAGAGTTCTGTATTCCACTGTCCTTGGCAGACTCATTCCCTCCATAGTGAGATGGGGAGATCTGCTCTTCCTTGATATGCAAGGAGCTATAGCCGATATCGCTGGGCCAGAGGGACTGGGACGGCATATCTTCGTGATTATCTGTTTTGGGCTCTTGATCCTCTTTCCCGTATGCGCTTCCCCCTTCGTGACAGCTAGCGATGGCCGAATCGCCAGAGGAGTTGGCTGGACTCGTCCGCCGGGCCAGCCAGGGAGATAGGCTCCGACCGGCCACCACGGCCGAAATCAAAGCGTCGGCGCTGCTGCCGGAAGCGGCCGCGAGTTCGTAGTCGATGAGATCGTCCGACGCGTCGGACTTTATGCTTATGTTGAGAGCGGCCTTGATGAAGCTGTGGCACGCCTGCACGATGTCGGTCATCTGGAGATAGCTGGCGGCCGACATCACCTCGATCACGTTCCTGCTGGTCAGCGCGAGGTGCGCTGAGTACATGAAGTCGATGATCGCTTTGAAGCCCTGCGCCGTTACGATGTCCAAGTGAGTGACCGTGGCCTGGTCGGACGTCTTCTGCACCTGGCAGTACAGCGTCTTGAAGTAGCGGCTGCTCCCGAGGAGGACGTTCTTGTGAGCCTTGAAGATCTTCCCCTCCACGATGACGCACACGTCGCAGAGGATGCCGTGCTGCCTCTGTTCGTTGAGCTCTTGAAGAAGGTGGCGGTAGTGGGAGGCAATCTCCATGTCTTCCTGTCTGTTATTCATTTATGGACGATTGTGCTGCCGCTTCCACGCGCTCTGAGGGGGGGAAACAGAGGTTTCGTTACCGTATTAGGTGGAATGCTGAAAGACTGGCATACAGTTGGATATAAAATGGAGCTCTTCCACCAGGCCTTCGTAAGAACATCAGAGAAGCTAATGTTGGATCAGGCCAGTGGCCAATCCAGTCCAACACTCTGTCACACAGTGGCCAAAAAGAACAGGTGCCATCAGGAGGTCCAGCAGCAGGGCCACGACATTAGAAGCCCTCCCACTATTGCCCCCTCCCCAAGCACCAAAAATACAGAGCATCCCTTGCCCCAGACCGAGAGTTCCTATCTATACCTTGTGGCTAATAGCCATTGATTGACCTCTGCTCCATATGTTTATCCAGTTCCCTCTTGAAGCCGTCCATGCTTGTAGCCGCCACCACCTCCTGTGGCCATGAATTCCATGTGTTAATCACTCTTTGGGTGAAGAAGGACTTCCTTTGGTCTGTTCTAACCCAACTGCTCAGCAATTTTATGGAGTGCCCACAAGGAGTTCTTGTATTGTGAGAAAGGGAGAAAAGTACCTCTTTCTCTACCTGCTCTGTCCCATGCATAATCTTGTAAACCTCGATCATGTCACCCCTCAGCCGTCGTTTCTGCAAGCTAAAGAGCCCCAAGCACTTTAATCTTTCTTCAGCCACCATCATCATCATCAACAACAATAAACTTATAGAGCCCCGGCCCTCGGTTTTGCCACCCATAGCCTGTGCTATGGAGAGACCAATGAACAGAACATCTAGCTAGATCTTGAATGCATTCATACGGTACCATCGTTACACAATTAAGAGATACCACTAGCCAGGGCTCTTTTTTTAGAAAAAGGCCAGCAGGAACTCATTAGCATAATAGGCCACACCCAACAGCAAGAACTCATTAGCCTATTAGGCCACACCCTGTCAGCACCACTCATTAGCACATTAGGCCACACTGCCATGTTACCAGAAGTGTGGTCATCCAGCCACACCCACCTTTCGCTTGTTATTGTTTCCCTTGTTTGTTGTCCAAACCCAGGGCCTTTTTTTGTAGCAGGAACTCCTTTGCATCTTAGGCCACACACCCCTAATGTAGCCAATCCTAATGAGTTTCTGCTGTTGGGTGTGGCCTGCTATGCTAATGAGTTCCAGCTGGGCGTGGCCAACTCAGGAGCCAGCCGGAACTCCGTTCCTGTTTTTTTTTTATTCCTGCCCAAAAATAGCCCTGCCGCTAGCACTTTACGATACTGAATTATTTTATAATTCAGCTGTTTCTAGATGATTGTATGATAATTTCAACTGTATTTATGCATTTACTTTTGTGTAAGCCGCCCTGAGCCTGCCTCGGTGGGGAAGGCGGGGTATAAACTGAATAAATAATAAATAAATGTAAGCCACAAAACCTTCTTAAAAGGCCTTTAATTGTCTTCCCAACAGTAGGGTCCCTTCAAACGAGACAAAACATATCAGAAAGTGTGCTCGTTCCTTGTGTAATCTGCCCCCTCCCTGATAACTAAGAAGACAATCCACGATGAATAGGTTAGGTTTGGCTCTTGAGTATTCAGTAGCTCATAAAAAGGGCAATTACTGCAACAGCTCATTAACAGTCAGATAATTCATTCTGAATCTTTCTCAATATGTAATTGGAACATATATACACGGAAAATGTTATTAAAACCTTGAATTTACTGGTAATTAACTCAGGTCTGCC